ATTACTATTTATCCCCAGTCTGCTTGCTGCCCAATTTCATGGGTTGGAGTAGGAGTAAAACAAACCTAATCTAGTTTACACTGACTCTGAAATGTAACCACAGGGGTCCCAGCATAAGGTTTCAATGTTTCCTCAATTAGATTCCTCACTGAGCACTATCTTAGCCTTTATTTCTGCCCTTGGTCCCCTTGAGCCTACTAAAAGTAAGCTCTTGGCCTATCTCCACCCCCCAAAAAACTACCTTTAGTGCTCTGCTGACCTTCTGTGCTCTCCACCATCATGGGCTTCCTCCCCTTATTTTATCCGGCAGTTTTAGTTGTTCTCAGTGGTGGTGTTGGTACAAAGTACATATAATGCCATTACCAGAAGGAGTAAGGTCTGACGTTTCCCACACCTTCAAGGTGTCCTACACATGGCACAGGTAAGTAATTATAAAGTGTAGTGACAGAAGAAAATCAGGCCCTGTAATAACAATAATTGTGTTGATGGAAGTGACCTGGCTGATGTAATAGCAAGAGTGGTGGCAATTTATCTTTACCAGGAAACATTTAAAAAAAAAAACCTTTCTAGTAAAAGTCTCCTCTGGCATCTCCAACATCACAGTTCAGATAATATTGCCTGGACAATCTTACATCATGTTTGCACCTGTATTGGGGTTCTCCAGAGGGACAAAAATAATGAAATATATATTTTAGAGAGCGAGAGTGAGAGAGGAGTCTATTAACTCAAACAATCACAAGGTCCTACAATAGGCCAACTGCAGGCTGAGGAGCAAGGAGAGCCAGTCCGAGTTCCAAAATGGAAGATCAAGTTGACACTCAATATTAACCATCACAACACCAAATCATATTTGACATTTCAAAGGCAGCAGCCTGTGAGATCAAAAACATTGTTTCTCCCCTCATTTAGTAGCCCAACATACAGCACATCTAAGTGAAGTGGAATGGCTTAGAAATAGATATACTTAATTGGTGTGCCCTGACAGGTTCTGCTTTGGCTTTACATCATTTGCACGTCAGCCTTATTTGTCAAGTCTATCATGAAGACCAGTTCAAAGAGACAGAAAGAGACTGGGATCAAGATTGTCAACTAGACACAGGTAGTATGGTGCCCCTTCAGGAGAAGAGCCAGAATAGTAGGCAGACACTCACATTTCAAACAGATTGACAAGAAACAAACGATTGGACTCAGCAGAGACTATATGGACGTGCCAGAATTAAGGAGAGGGTTAGGGGCAGCTTGCCCAGCTAGGAACTTGCTGAGAGCCAAGGGCGTCTCCTGGATGCAGGAAAGCAGTAATTTCCAGCAGAAATTCCAGAGCTCTGAAGTGGGCCTTAATGATTTTGACTATGGAAGAAACCCTTGATGACTAGAGCCTCATGTCTGACATATGGAGCTGTTTAAGGTTTTCACAGATATGTTGGTCCATAAAGGGAACCAACAAAGAATCCTACAGTCGCCCAAGCATGGAGCAGCCACAGCTGGGAGGCATTTCAAGAGCCCAAATACCAGGAATCTACAGACAACAGCTGCAGCTGGTGCTCTGCTGGAAGGAGGAAAAGAGAATGAGTGCACCCATGCACCCCTGAATGGGTACTTACTACAGCTCAGTGAGCTGCTGCTGAGACTGAGATGGGAGTGGATTGCATTCCCTGTAGTTTCTTGCACATGATGCCTGCCTGGGTGGGACCCCATCCTTTTTAGCCTCAGGCAAAAGTGCTATTTTTAGAGTTTAATTCTAGGCTGAGCTCCACACTTGGCCTGAGTTTGGACTGAATATGGCTGTAGCCACTGCCTAGCCAAGAGCCCACAAAGAAACCAGGCCATCCCATGTATGCTTAGGAAATACCCTATTCCCAGCAACAGGCTGCCGTGAGAATAAGACTCAATCAAAGTCCACTCTTTCTAGCTTCTTGCCCACACTACTTGACAGAAAAGTGCTCCACCCTCCTGGGTTGCAGGCCTAAGGTATCATTTTGAAAGTTTAATGCTTAGCTCTATGTCATATTCTGCCTGAGTCTGGCTGAAATGGCTACAGCTGCTGCCCAGCCAAGGAGGGGCAGGGAAGTCAGGCTCTCCCACACCTGCCTGGGACAATACTCAGTGCCCTGCTAGGGGCTGCTTCTTGCCCACATTGCTTGCCTGAGTGGGATTCCACCCTCTCCAGTTACAAGCTCACAGCTGGCACTATTTTGAGTGTTTAGAAACACTATTGGGTAACCTGGTGACCACAGCTGGCATTGTAGTCTTAGGCCAAAGATTAGAGTGCTTATTCTTGGACAGGGAAAAGGGCCCCAGCCAGAACTGAGTGTCAAGTGTGGAAAGTGCCCCAGTAGTAGGCAGTGGGATTGGAATCTCTCCCATCCCAGTACTTGTGTGGAAATGAGACACTGATCACCACCTGCAGAGCCCTGTCTTGCAGACCTTGACTCAATGATGGATGAATAAATGCACTTTTCCACCTATTTCAGTGATTCAAGTGGTTAGGGATGGGCGTTGGCTGCTTTCAGAGGGCAACTGCAGTCAATTGACCGACACCCCCTGTCCCATTCTTACATTTATTCGGTAATGATTTCATAACAAAGGTTCTAAATCAACATGCTTGTGGATAATTAACATGGTTAAAAGAATAGTTTTACAAATGATAAAAAGCTTTAGGGCCAGGCATGGTGACTCAAGCGTGTAATCCCAGCACTTTGGGAGGCTGAGGTGGGCGGATCATGAGGTCCAGAGTTCAAGACCAGACTGGCCAACATGGTGAAACCCCGACTCTACTAAAAAATAAAAAAATTAGCTGGGCATGGTGGCTTGTGCCTGTAAGGCCAGCTACTTGGGAGGCTGAGGTAGGAGAATTGCTTAAACCGGGACTGGGAGGCGGAGGTTGCAATGAGCTGAGATGGCACCACTGCACTCCAGCCTGGGCTATGGGCTACAGAGCAAGACTCCATCTCAAAAAAAAAAAAAAAAAAAAAAAGCTTTAGTTTCCAGGGCACAGCAGGAACACTGTTAACAGATAATTGCCCTTTGATCTCCCCCTGAGAGGACCATCCAGCACAAAGTTTACATGAGTAAACAGAGTAGAGACACAGGGATGTGTGGGGTAAACAGACTTAACTAGGAAAGCCTCTTATCATCCCTATCTTTTCTCTAACATAATGGACTGGCTGCCTTCAGTCTGCCCCAATAAAATGTTTTGACCTTCCAAAACACTTAAGACTATAATCTATAAATTTCCATGATATTTCCCTAATATTTTGCCAGCCACCCTGAGTGAATTCCAACATGGAAGGAGAGTTCCTGATGCTGAAGTGTCTTCCAGGCAGTAAGACATGCAGCCAGGGACAGATTTATGTGGCCAAGCCTGCTCCTTTGGTCAGTTAGGAGATAGTACCATACCAGCTATGAGGAGTTGGGAGGGAGGCAGACCCTACTATCCTGGAAATATAACTCTTATCACAGACCACCCCTAAGGGAGGCAGGAGTACAACCTGCCAAAGCCCACCTCAAGTCAAAGGAAATGCAAGCACGGCACCAAAAACTGAAGACAGCACCACCAAAGCCCAGTTGTAACTGTGGAGTAGTGGTCACCTCTCACCTCCACAAGTCCCCTCCTTAGTGCACCGTCACAGATTCAGCAGCAGCTCCTCTGGTCAGGATGCAGGGAATATGGGCTCAAAGAGTTCACTTTGGGGCTTCTCCAGTGGCTCCACCACCAAAGAAGGCAAATGCTTGCTGAGGGAGGGTGCTTTTTATGCTTCTTCATTACCTCCACACCCATCCCTACCTGTTGGCTCTTACTGTGAAGCACTGTCTACAGGACTGCAGCCTGAATTACGCAACCAACCAAATTACATTGCTACAATAGGTAATGTCTGAGAACATCACTGCACAAGTCAAACTGCAACCATGGAATCCACACAGAACCTAAGCACTGTGCAAGCATTGAGAAATGAAGCTAATCAATCATATACAATATACAACTCAGTCATACTTCCAAGAAAAAAAACCAAAGAAATTGGTTTGATTAAAAAATCAAGAAGCCCCATCCAATCAATAACACATTTTTAAAAACCTGTTGACTCTTTCAGATGAGAAGAAGCCTGTGCAAAAAACTCAGACACTACGAAAAGCCAGAGTGTTTTGTCATCTCTGAAGGATTCCACTAGATCTCAATTAATAGATTCTAACCAGAATGAAATGACAGATATAAAATTCAGAATATTAATGGCAAAGTAACTCAATGAGATCAAGAGAAAGTTAAAATTTAAAACAAAGAAGCCGGAAAAATGATCCAGAAGTCTGAAAAAAAAATGAAAAATGTCATAGCTATATCACAAACTGAACAGAAGTTCTGGAATTAAAAAATTTATTTCTGGAATTTCAAAATACAGTTGGAAGACTGAACAGCAGAATAGACAAAGTGCAATAAAGGCAGGAAAAAAATGGAAAGAATTGTAAAGCATGAACAAAACCTTTAAGAAATATGGGATTATTTAAAGTTGATCAAATCAATGACTTGCTGGCATTCTTGAGAGAGAAGACAAATAAAGAAATTGGAAAATATATTTGAGGAAATAATTCAGGAAAATGTTTCGAATCTTGCTAGACAGGACAATATGCAGGTACAAGAAATCCAAAAAAACTTCAGTGAGATACTTTACAAGATGACCATCTCAAAGGCACATAATAGATTATCTGTGGTCAATGCAAAGAAAAAATTCTAAAGGCAGTGAGAGAAAGGGTAATACTACATATAAAAGGGAAATTATCACATTAATAGAATTCTCAGAAAAACTGACATGCCAGAAGTTAATGATGACCCATTTTAACATCCCTAAAGAAAAGCTATGCCAGCCAAGAATTTGATATCCCACCAAATTAAGCTTTAGAAAAAAAAGAGAAATAAAGTTTTTCCAGAGAAACAATTGCTAAGGGAATTTATCACCACCATGCTGGCTCTATAAGAGATGCTTAAGGGAGTTCTTTTTTGTTTGTTTTTACATTGCTGCAGAATGTCTTCCAATTGCCAGCTATGGAACAAGCTGGGAATGGAACTAATGCCTCTGCTACGCTTGCTTTCCCCTCCCTTTCTGAAGGTGGAAGAATACTAGGCACTCTCCAGACACAATCCCAGGAGATTAAAAGTTCTGAACATGGAAATGAAAGAACAAAACTTGCTATCATAAAAGCACATGCAAGCATATAACCCAGAGACCCTGTAAAGCAACTACACCAACAAGACTACAAAACACACAGCTAACAACACATGTTGTTAGGAAAACCTCACATGTTAATATTGATATTGAATATAAATGGCCTAAACACTTCATTGAATGGACACAGTGGCAAATTTGATTTAGAAAACAAGACCTATTACTCTGCTACCTTCAAGAGACCCATCTCACAGGTAATGATATCCAAAGGCTCAAAGTAGAGAGATGGAAATGGAAAGCCATTTATTTTTGTTTTCCATAGCAGACAAAGGGAAAACATAAAAGACCAGGAGTCACTATTTTTGTATCGGATAAAATATAATTTAAAGCAACAACAATTAAAAAAAGATCAAGAAGGGCATGACCTGACGACACAGGGTTTCATTCAAGAGGAAGTCCTAACTCTCCTAAATATTTCTACACCTAATATCAAAGAACCCAGATTCATTAAAACAGTTACCTTTAGAAAAAATACTTTGATAGGCATGCAATAATAGTAGGGACTTTAACACCCCACTAATGACATTAGACAGATTATCAAGTATTTGTTAATACTAACAAATACATTCTGGACTTAAATTTGAGACTTGACCATTTGGACAAGACATTAGACACCTATAGAATAATCCATCCAACAACCACAGAATATACTTTCTTGTCATCAGGACATGGAATATTCTTTAAAATTGACCACATGATCAGTCATAAGGCAAGTCACAATAAATGCAAAAAATCGAAATTATACCAAGCATATTCTCAGACTATACTGGAATAATAACAGAAATTACTACGAAGAGGAACTTTCAAAACCACAAATACATGGAAACTAAACAATTTACTCCTGAGTGACTTTTGGGTAAACAATAAAATTAAAGCAGAAATAGAAAAATTTATTTGAAACAAATGCAAATACAAACATAGCTTGCAAAAACTTCTGTTATTCAGCAAACACAGTCTTAAGAGGAAAGTTATAGCTTTAGACTACATCAAGAAGATAGAAAGATCTCAAATTAACAATTCAACCTCACACCTAAAGCAACTAGAAAAACAAGAACAAACTAAACCCGAAGCTATAAGAAGAAAAGAAGCAACTAAAATCAGAGCAGAACTAAATGAAATTGAGAGCCAAAAAACATACTGAGGATCAATAAAATGAAAACTCTGTTTTTTTGAAAGGATAGATAAGATTTATAGACTGCAAATTAGATTAACAAAGAATAAAAGAGAACCAAATAAGCAGAATCAGCCGTGACAAAGGTGACATCACAACTGATTTCACAGAAATACAAAATATCCTCAGAGACCTACTAGGTGCCACTATGTGCACAAACTAGAAAAAAAAAAAGGATCAATTTTTAGAAGCACAACCTCCCAACATTAAACTAGGAAGAAACAGATTTCTCAAACAGGCTAATAATGATAATGAAATTGAATCGGCAATAAAAAATCTACCAGCCAAATACAGCCCTGAGGATTAGATGGATTCACAGCCAAATTCTACCAGATGTACAAAGAAGAGCTGATACCTGTCCTACTAATACTACTCAAAAAAATTGAGGAGGAAGGACTTTTCTCTAACTCATTCAACAAAACCAGTAGCAGATGATATCAAGATCTGGCAAAGATACAACAAAAAGAAAACTACAAACCAATATTTCAGATTAACACAGAAGGAGAAATCCTAAAAAATATGCTAGCAAACTGAATCCAACAGTACATCAGAAATTTAATTCACCACAATCAAGTGGACTTTATTCTTGGAATGCAGGAATACATTTCAATATATGCAAATTAATAAATTTGATTCACCACATAAATAGGATTAAAAACAAAAATCATATGAACATTCCATTAGACATGGAATAAGCATGAAACAAAATCCAATATCCCTTCATGATTAGAGTGACAACAAACCAGGCATTGAAGGAACATCCCTAAAAATAACGAGGCATTTATGGCAAACCCACAGCCAACATCGTGCTGAATGGAGAAAAGCTGGAAGCATTCCTCTTAAGAGCTGGAGCAAGACAAGAGTGTCTGTATCACCACTCCTATTCAACATATTACTGGAAGTCCTAGCCAGAGCAATCAGAAAAAGAAAAATTAGAAAGCATCAAAATAAAAAAAAGAAAGTCAAATTGTATCTCTTTACTGATGATATGATCCTATGCATAGAAGACCCTGAAAGTTCTACCAAAATCTAATAACGGGCTTCAGCAAAGTCTCAGAATACAAAATAAACTCACAAAAATAAGCAGTATTTCTACACACTTGGTATTAGTGCGTACCACTTACAATTAGCTTATTATAAGCTTGAAAGTTATATTTAAGCTGAGAACCTGAGTAAGAATGCAATCCCATTTCCAATAGCCAGAAAAAAAAAAAATACCTTGGAATCCATCTAACTTAGGAGATACAACGTTTCTATGAGAACTACAAAACAAACCGCTGAAAAGTCACAAATGACACAAATGAAAAATCATGAAAATGAATAGAAGAATCAATATCATTAAATGTTTATGCTGCTGAAAACAATCTACAGAATCAACACTATTCCTATCAAACTAATAATGTTAGTTTTTATTGAATTAAAACAAAACCAAAAAAAATAACATTTATGGATCCAAAACCCAGCCTGAGTAGCTCAGGCAATCTAATGCTAAAAGTGTAAAGCCAGAGGCATCAAATTACTTGACATTAAACTATATTACATTACTATAGAAATCAAAGCATCATGGTAGTGGTACAAAAGCAGACAGATAGACAAACGGAACAGAATAGAGACCCCCGAAACAAAGCAACACACCTACAACCAAATCGTCTTTGGAAAAGACAACAAAAATAAATAACATGGAAAGGACACTCTGTTCATTAAACTGTGCCAAGAAACTGGTTGACTGTACACAGAAGAATGAAACCTGCCCCCTACCGCTCACCACAGGCAAAAATTAACTCAAGATGGATTAAAGACTTAAATGTAAGACCTCGAACTATAAAATTTCTAGCAAAACCTAGAGAATGCTTTTCTAGACATTGGCCTAAGCAAAACAATTGTGATGAAGACCTCAAAAGCAATTGCAGTAAGATAAAAAATGGACAAATGCGACTTACTTAAGCTAAAGAGCCTCTGCACAGCAAGATAAACTCCTAACATAGTCAACATGCAACCTAAATAATGGTAGAAAATATATTGGAAAACTATGCATGTAAAAAAGAAGTAATATCCGAATCTATAAAGAACTTAAATCAACAAGAAAAAAAATAACCAGATTAAAAAGTGGTCAAAGGACATGAATAGACACTACTCAAAAGAATACATACATTTGGTAAACAAACATATGGAAAATGCTCCACATCACTAATCACTGGAGAGATGCAAATCAAAACCACCAGGAGCTATCGTCTCACACTAGGCAGAATGGCTACTATTAAAAAGTTGCCATGGCTCAGGCCTGTAATCCCAGCACTTTGAGAGGTTGAGGCGGGCGGATCACAAGGTCAAGAGATCGAGACCATCCAGGCCAACATGGTGAAACCCTGTCTCTACTAAAAATACAAAAAAATTAGTTGGGAGTGGTGGCATGAGCCTGTAGTCCCAGATACTCGGGAGTCTGAGGCACGAGAATTGCTTGAACCCGGGAGGTGGAGGTTGCAGTGAGCTGAGGTCTTGCCACTGCACTCCAGCCTGGTGCCTGGTGACAGAGTGAGACTCTGTCTCAAAAAAAAAAAAAAAAAAAAAATGCCATGGCTCACCCATGTAATCCCAGCACTTTGAGAGGCTGAGGTGGGTGGATCAAGAGATCAGGAGTTCGAGATCAGCCTTGGCAACAGTGCAACTTCCTCTCTACTAAAATTACAAAAATTAGCTGGTTGTGGTGGTGCATGATGGTAGTCCCAGCTACTAACGAGGCTCAAGCAGGAGAATCACTTGAATTTGGAGGGGGAGGTTGCAGTGAGCAGAGATTGGGCCATTGCATGCCAGCCTGGGTGACAGAGTGAGACTGTCTCAAAAAAAGAAGTTGAAAAATTAGATGTTTGGAGATTTTACATAGAACCATAAGGAGTAATTGGATTGCTGGGTTGATTACCGCTTGACTCAGCAATCCAGTTACTGGGTATATACCCATAGGAAAATAAATCATTTTAGTGAAAAGGTATCTGTAGTCTTATATTTATTGCCCTATTCACAATAGCAAACACATGGAATCAACCTATGTGCCCAACAACAGTGGACTGAATAAAGAAAATGTGGTACATACACACAATAGAACCCTACACAGTCATAAAAAAACGCAAAATCATGTCCTTTGCAGCAGCCTAGATGAAGCTGGTTTTGTATTCTTATGTTTAACCTAAGCAAATTAGCACAGAAACAGAAAACAAAATACTACAAATTCTCACTTATAAGTGGGAAGTAAATACTGGATACACATGGACAGAAAGATGGGAATGATAGTCACTGGGGACTCCAAAAGGGGAGAGGGAGAGCGGTGAGGCAAGATTTAAAAATCTGCCTATTGGGTCATATGTTTATTACTTGGGGAATGGAATCATTACAGGATCAAACTTCAGCATCATTTAATATGCCCATCTAATAAGCTTGCACATATGCATACCCATTGAAAAGACAAAAAGAATAGTTCATCTGCCATAGGGAAAGTCAATTTTATTATTCTACATTGTTTTATTTTGGTTAAGAAACATTACTTTATGAGTTTTTTTTTTTTTTGTAAATTCTAATAATCTCACATATTTTTACAGCATGTGTAGAAATCTGACCATAATCAAAGGAGGAAATATTTAAATCAATGAGTTTTAAAAAATATTTTATTCCTAGTTTGAGATACCTTTGATCATCCAAAATAAAGGATAGTGAGCTTGGATACAATTACAGAAAGTATGTTGTGATGACAATTTTGCTGCCCAC